CACATTTCTTACAGAAGCCCAGCATCAATTCCCTCATCAGCCGGACTGGAAATCTAACACAGAACTCCCCCAAGCTGCATTAAAAATGGGGTAACGGGAGATACAGTGTTCAACTGCCACATTTGGGTATCAGCAGCAAGGTGGGCACACCAGCACAGCACTACCTAAACTATCTTTGCCCCCCCAGCCTTGCTCTTGGCAAGGTGAAAAGCTGCTGCAGACGGTGCTGGTGTTTCAGGCTCTCTCTTCGGAAGGTGGTTATACGATCCACTGAGCCATGTCCTGGAGGAGAGTCTGCTTTTTTGCCACCCCTTTGAAACCAGAGAATCTCTTGTTTGTAATTCCATAAAGGATTTGTAAGCTGAAGGTGTTAAAAAAAATTTCTGGTGTGTTGGAGGTAACCTCAGCCTTCCATTGGGATATCGACAAAGTGCAGTCCCTCTGTGGCTTCTCAAGCACTTGGAGGGCAACATGGGTAAAATGAGACTTTGAGGCAGGATGTTTATCCTCTTCTCTCAGAGTGTTTGGTGTGATTTTTATCAGGGAATGAGGTTAATCAGACTGTCTTTCCTTTCTCCAGCTACAGCAGCATCTGCACAATATGCTCCGAATGTATTTGCCCTGTTAGGAATGGATGGAATGGGGTTTAGGTTGTGGTACATACTTTAGTGACCTGTACATGGTATGGTCAGTACCAATTCAGTCATTTTCCTGGATGCAAAGAGGGTAATTAAAAAAAAAAGTCCTTTTCAAATATGCCTTTTAACCTCAAAGAAGGGACCTGTGGAAGATGCTGGTCTGCTGTGGGAATGAAATTCATGTATTTGCATTAGCCTTGTATGTCTTGACTTCACCAAAAGGCAGACAACCCACAAATTATATATACACACAAAATGAAACAATTGTTATCTGGATTTAGATTTGAGAATGAACAGGATGTTAATGAGATAATGTCTAGGCATGACATGTTTTCACACCTTGGCACAAGAATGTATAATCATGTCTTCTACACTGCCTGTTTAAAAGGACAGACTCCAGTGATACCTTTTCAGTATTCCATACCTATTCATTTCTGTACTTGTATTAGGATTAGATTATTTATAATTCCAATGTTTCTTAGTGTAACTAAATTCTGATTTAATGCTTACAAATAAATGTAAAGCTTCAAAGACAATGAAAAAACAGGAAGCACTGGCAGAGGGAGGTAACTCAGCAAGGGCAACGCTGTTCCACTGGAAACTGTATCTGCTGCCTAAAATGGACTCGTTTGTGGTGCAGCCCAACACCACTTTCAGGTTTGGTTTGATCACCAAAGCGGGGATTTTTCAGCAGCAACTGCCACAACAGAAACCATTGCAGGGACGAAACAGGGAAGCAACATCCCTGCAGCCAGGCTTTAATTCATGCTGATGTGCAATTAGGGGAGGCTGTGATTGCAGGACCATGTGCCCGACCACATGCAAATCTCATTCCCACCGCAGCAGCCGCCTGACACGAGGCGGGTAATTGATGATCCGAGTTCTTATCACTCAGCAAACTGTTTGGGGAGGAGTTTATTCATATAAATAGCAGAAAAGAAAAGGAAGATCAGCTCCAAAGGGGTGGGTCACTTGTGAGATGGAGCAAATCTTCTCCTGGTAATACTCTCTGCTCCTGTAGCTCCCACTGGTGTTCCAAGAGCCCAGCCCCGCTGAGAGCACGGAACATGAGGCAGAAATTCTGTCTGAGCTGCATTTTTTCCCCTCCCCTGATCTTCAGAAAGGATTGAAAAAAATTGTGGCTGCTGCTAATCATTAATCACTCTGAAACCAAATCTGGCCTTGCAGAACTAACTGTGGCAGTCAGACCACTGGGGAAACTGGAGTGAGGAAGAAAGTGTTCAGATGGTTTCTAGATGTCTCTAATTTGGGGGTTCCTGTATTAAATTTGTGTGCTTATTTTTTAGTGCCTTAAATTACACTGTTGAGAAGCTTTTCTTTTTGCATCATCTGCATTTTCCTTTGGACAATTACATCTGAAATTAAATTTACCATTCCCTGCTCACCCCTAACTGTAATGATGTCCTTCTACTGCCTTGTCTGTCTGCTGATTCAGTCTGTTCCAGCAAGGAATGAATGAACCTGCATTGTGCTACCTAAACCAAGAGAAAAGTCCTGGCTGCAAAGCCTCCATGCTCACCACCAGCACTGAAGCCCCTTCACTGGGGCAGGCAGGGAACCTTCTAGAAAGCAGAAAGTCCCAGTATAAACTGGTGAATGCAAACCAAGGATGACAATCAGATGCTGAAATTTGTCTCTGAACCCTTGGGCTTTTTACACACTTTATGTCCTGTGATTCCTCTGTAAAAGTGTCACTTAATTGGAGCGTGAGGTTCCATTTGCTGATCCCCATCCAGGCTCCTGAAGGTGGGGGTAAAATCACCCAGGTGGTCAGTGATGCTGAGAAATGTCCATGATGCAGCCTGTGCATGGCATGGTCCTGTTTTGATCCCACATTTGCTGTCAGAGGGAAGGTGCTGGACCCTCAGGACAGGGGGCTCCAGGTCCTTCCAGACCCACCTTCGGGGCACATTCCTCACCTCCACACTCAGCTTCAGGCTCTTTCACTCTCTGAGGTTTTCAAAGTTGTGAAACCAAATCTTGGCAGCTGAGTTTTCCTGACACTAAAAACTCCTGAATCATATTTTTATACATCTTTTATGCATCTTTTTAGTTGCTCCTTTGGGTCTTTGCACTGGTGTAGTGTTGCATCAACCAGCAGTCGTTTGTGGCTGGCACCGGCAAGTGTGAAGGAAATGGAGAGGAACCCTTGTTTGGAGAGGAAATAAAGGTGAACAATCACATGGACCTTACAAACATGTTGGAACACAATAAAACACAAATAGTTTCAACTTTGGCAGTGAGGGAGTAGCATTGTTTAAACACAGACATTTAAAGACCATACAGATAATTTCCAGAGAGGAGAAGGACAATCCTGTGGTCTACTTTGCAGCTTGGACATGCCTAAGTCTAGCAGCAGCCCCTCCCTGTGTGTAGGACTGCCTTGCTTTTTGGTATCTGGCAGGTGAGTCGCTCCCTGCACTGGGCTGCCTGTGGGATTTTCCCAGCTGTAACTTTGAAGTTGGCTGTTTTGCCCGTTCTGTGATGTGGTGATGTATGTTTATAGTTTGTGAAGCACCTCGGGGTGAAAGGCCTTCTGTAAATGCTGTTATTCATCAAGAAATAACGGGGCCTGTCCTTTAACTGTGAGCTGGAACCGTTCCCAAACCCCACCACCACACTCAGCTGTTTATTATTTTTCCTAGAGCGGCGCCCAAGGATGAAATGGGAATGGGGGTGCCTTGTGCTGAATGCTGTGTGAATGGAAATGTCATCTTCTCACCAAACAGAGAGGAAAAGGCTGTGGGAAGGGAAGTGTTTTAAACGCTGTGCCTGAGAGTCTTTCTTTCTCAGCTCAGCAAAGATGATCAGAGGCCAGAAAGTCTCCACATTTTTCCTCAGACTGAACCTAAAAGTGGGGCCCTACAAGCACAACCCCATCCGAGCAGCTGGACAACCCTTTCCACTGATGATGGCAGAGACTCATCCCGGGGGCAGTTCACCCAAGCAGGCTCAGACACCAAATTTGAGATGAACCACATCCTTCCTGAACCTGCTTCTCTCCCCTGACTGAAAAAGCAAATCACAAACCAAATCCAGATGTAGGCACTCACAGGCGATTTGCAGGTTGGGATGAGAGGAACACCCAGGGAGAGAGACTGGATGATCCCTGTGGACAAACACCACTCAGTACAAATGGAAAGGTCCCTCGAGATACCTTGCCCCAACTTTGGGGCTGAGCCACACACCGATCGATCTCCAGCACTGTCCCCTTTTCCTTTCCTTTTCAGGAGATGAAGGAATCAAAGAAGATATGAACCCTCCCAGCCAGAAGGAGTAGTGGAATGGTTGGGAGTGTGTACATCCAACCAGAGTGGGACAAGTAGAAACACTGCAGTGAATTAGATGTTGTATGTCTGACAAGAGACCAGTCAAAGCTGCAACAAACCTCCATTTATGCCCCTGGGAATGTAACATGTCTTATAGGATGCCAAGGACAGTATTCATGTTAAAAACAAATAAAAAAAGGTCTTCTGTGTGAAATTCATACTGAATGTGTTAGTGCCTCACAGAGGGATTTGGACTGTCTTAGGATTTTGGGCTGTGGATATCTCAGGGCAATTTGTAGCCTTGGTAAATGTGCACCTGCTTAAAACTGTGACAGATCATTATGGGTCTAATGCAGATGATTAGGTAAAATCCAGCTTCCAGAGCCTGCACTTTGGGGCTGGAACTTGTGCATGAACAGAAGTGCCTGTGGCTTCCCTGCTTCCTGGCTCCTACTGACTCAGAAAGGTTTCAGCAGAGCCTCTCCTCCTTTTGGCATTTTAACATCCATTTTTGGCAGGGCTCCACCGTATCAGTGGTGTATAAAAATACAAAATAAACCAAACCTAACAGAAGGAAATAATTTTGAACAGCAAAAGAGGCCCTCCCCATGAAAACACTGGGAGGGACACCTTGTTTAAAGATCTCACCTTCAACTCTCTTACCTGGTCCTGCTGCCCATTCATTTGGGTTTCACACACATCCAAGCCTCTTCACTAAATTGAGACCAATTTCTTTGGAGTTGAGCCCAGGCTCTTAGAAGCTGGTTGGAAAAAATGAAGATATTAGATAGGTATTAAATATTAGGAAGAAATTCTTTACTCAGAAGGAGGTGAAGCACAAGAACACGTTTCCCATAGAGGTTATGGCTGCCCCATCCCTGGAAACGTTCAAGGCCAGGTTGGACAGGGCTCTGAGCAACCTGATCTAGTTGATGTCCCTGCTCACTGCAAGGGGGTTGGACTGGATGAACTTTAAAAGTCTCTTCCAACTCAGCCTGTTTCATGATTCTGTGAACTGGAGTGAGATTTTAACTCTTCCTGGGTTGGTCAATGTTTTTTTCTGCCAAGGGGGAACCACTCCCCACCACGGAGAGGAATCCCAGTACACAGTGCAGTGCTGGTTTGAACTGGTCCCAGTCTCTTCTTGCTGAGGTTATGAAGAGTGTTTTCAGAGACTTTGAGGAAGTTTTGGTTATTTTAGGAATGGCTGCCTCCTACTCTTGGAGCAATTACTGCTATGCCTCCTCCCTGGCCTGTTTACATCTGCCTGGACCAAAAAGCTGTCATTAATAAAGTGGTATTTTGTACCACCATGTGTGTCTTTCCTCCTCTAAATCCTGTGGACCTGCCAGTGCTCAGCTTTGTGAGCAAACACCACTGCACCAGGTGTATCACCAGGCACAGCCTTGCCTTGTTACCCACTAGCTTTGCAGCACTAAAATTTGTTGCATCAGTACAAAGTGACATTACCTTATTTTCCCACCATAGTAATTTATTCTTGGGACTTGGTGCTGATATTTAAAACACCCAACAACCCAATGTAAACACACGCTCTGACTCAGTCCTGCTGTACTTTAAAAGACACAACCTATAAACATCCCTTCCTGCTGAGGCCCAAACAAAGGCAGAGGGCTTTCCTCCAAGCAGGAGCTGCAAGGTTGGCTTTGAACATCTTCTGCTGATACTGCAGAGTCCCCTGCAGCTCCCTGCTTTTATCCTATTTCTTCCATGAATTTTATTTATTACTCCCCAGATGTCTGACTGACAATGTTTAATAGCACTCCTCCATCATGCTGCCTGGTGTAGCAGGGCAGAGGCAGTGGTTTGCCTAAGAGCACCTTCCAAAATGCCACTGGCAGATTTGTTTTATCCATCGAGGCAGATCACAGGCCCAAGCAAATTGTTTAATTTCCGGTGGCTGTATGAACACTTTCCTCCTTCATTCTTCATGCTTCTGACAATGGCAGGAATTGAAAATGTTTGTTAACTAAAAGAAATCTGATACAGTTGCCAAAATGGAGTGAGGGGAGGCTGATTTGTATGACTGAAGCATTTAAACTGCTGAGTACAACGTGTGTGTGAACAGCAGTGTGTGCCCAAGGGAAAAGGCAGAGGGGAAAAGAGACCGTGACCCGTTTAGCTGTTAAATACAGAGATATTAAAGCTCTGACTATAGAAGTTGGGAGGTATAGAGAGAGGTGAGTGTGTGGTGCCTGTAAAGGGGATTACAGACCATGGGTTCACATTAAGAGGTGAGCTGCTTCTGGAGCTTTTATCCGTAATAAATGGAAAGAAATACCAGGTAATGGGAGACTTCAATCATAAAGATGTATGCTGGGAGTCTCATATAACCAGAAATAAATCTCTTTGAAGTTTCTCAAATGATGTGTGATCATTTTCTAGCCCAGGAGATATTACACCCAACACGAGATAACAGTATTTCAGATTCCATCCTGACAGATTGGTCTGTGTGTTGGAAGCTGACAGTGTCTGAGGAGCATATGGCTGGGACTCGGATTCAATAGAGGCAGGAGAGAGGATAGAGGATGGACCAGCACAGTAATGAATATATTGGGTAGCTCCAAAGGGATAATTTCCCAGGACTGAAGCAGCATAAAAAGAATGAAAGCTGGGCTTTCTATAAGAGGATTTTACCAGCTGACCAACCACCTTGATTTCACAGTGATGTGAGAGGGCAATTTCCATTAAAATCCATCCTGCTAAAAAGGGAGAATGTCACTCACTGCAAGACACACAACTTAATAAACTGATTTGAGCAAATAAAATCTACCTTAAAGTGGAGGGTTGCAAAGCTGTGCTGTCCCCCCACTGCCAGGGCAAGCTGGGGGGTAGCCTGGAGGGGAATTTTGGCCTTTGGTGGTTGAAGCGCTGCAATCCCATTGTGTGTTCAGGTTTAGAAAATGTTGGAGGCTGGGCTGAGCTGGTGTTGGTGGGAGGGAGAAGCTGGAGACAACCCAAGGACTACCAAAAATATTTTGTAGCCAGATGTAGGAGCTCTGTCTGTTGGGTTTATCCAAAGAAGACCAAGGGGTGACGTGGTGCCTGTGCCTGTGGGCTTTGTGGGGGAAGCACCAGGTCACTGGGTTGAGAGCAGAGCTAGAGGAGGAGGCTGTGCTATGTGCTGTCAGAATTGAGCTGGTGGTTCTTCCTGCCTTTAAAAAACCTCTGAATCTGCAAGAAGCTGGTAAGGACACTGGTGATATTTGATTATACAAGTGGTGTTCCACACCATTTTCTGGAATGATGCAGCATTGTCTGTCACAGGCAGCAGACTCAGCGGGGTGCTGGGAAGGCTGGTCCCTGCAAGATACACTTGGGGAACAGTGTTCTCTGCTTTTGGATGGAGCCTCATGAGCTATCAACCCCAGGCTTGAGCCAGTAGATGGGAACTTTAGGTCCTGGAGTCCTGGCATGCTAGCAGGAGAATCGGAAAAATAAGTTCAAAATCAGAATTACTGTGAAACGGCAAAATATTGTGGAAAAGGCCGAAGGTTTCATGCAAAGCTGACTTTAGCTATGCCAATACATTCCCCTCAGGGGACCCATCTCCTCCTCTTGCAACAGGCAAGTCACTACCTTCTCATGTGTCCATTGCCTTGGCTGCAATACAGTATTTCACAGAGCATATTGGCACCTCCAGTGCAGAACAGCTCTTTAAGTGCTTGCTGTTACAATTATATTATGATTCCAAAGCAGGAGAAAGTAGTTTCTTTCCCTTTGCACCAATAATTGAGCTTATCTAGAATGACAAATTGATGGGCTCTGGAAAGAGAGCAGGAGTGATGTCTAAACTGGCCTGAAATTCAGTCAACAGCTTGTAGCATCTCTGAGAAGCCTCTGAGTACTTGTTACTGTGTCTTCTGTCTTCAAAATCATGAAGGAAATCAAAGACAGAAATCTGTGAAGTCTTTGCAAGTGGTCAGATGACTTTATTTCTCAGAAGTTCTCTGGTAACCAAAGCTTTCCTACCTTTTTCCCCCCAAACTGCAGCCCTCTTCTTGAACTCACATATGAGACTGGATAACCTGTCTCTTATTGCAGTGCTTTCCTGGGGAAAGAAGGGATAAAAAGACACTTAGGATCTATCTGGCATTTCAGAAGGACCGTGTCCCAGTGGGTTGACAGGTCTATTTCAGCAGAAAACTGGAAGAGCCTTGACCTTGCTGAAACTCATCCATCTGCAGAGCTCTGTTCCTGCAGGTGTAGGAATCAGACCCCCAGTAAGACCTTCTGTGCTTACAAATCCCTCATGGTCCTCGTGCAGAAGGGCCACTGTGGTGAGGGGCGATGAAATCCTTGTTCCCAGCCCTTCTGCAGCTGCCCTGGATTTGAGAGAGAGGAAAGAGCCCCAAAAGACTGAAAACACCATGAAGTGCAGCGGGGAAATAACTCACAGAAAAAGCTCAGCTGTGGCTGTGAGATTTAATCTGTTTGAACTGCCAAACATGTCCAAACTCACTTTTTTTGGCCCAATACCACTTTTTTTTTTATTTCTAACTTGAGAAGGGCACAGGGACTCTTTGTATGTATTAAGTATTATGAAAGTAGAAATAAAAAGGAGAAGAAAGACCCTTTCAGCTCCCTGTGGCTAATCAGGTATTCACCTTGAGCAAGTACTAATGAAACCAGCACCACATCAAAGGGGAAGCTGGCTCTCCAGTCGAGAAGGTTATTAAAAAATTGAAGAGTACCAGGCAGCCCCCAACCAGCATCAGTGACTGCACTTCCCATTCTGTTTTGTACAGAAAAATGCAGCCCTGTGCTTGTCCTCTCAGCTGCCACCTGCTCAGGGGTTATGGCCATCAAAAAGAGGCACTGGGGGAACTGTCCTTGCAGGCAGGGAGGGTTTTGTGTTCAGGGACTGGGTATTTCTATTCCATTCTTCACATGGTTGAGTTACCAGAAGGTACTAATGCGAGCCAAACCCACCAGGTGCTGACTTGATTTTTGATGTAATGGCAATAGCAAACTCTTTTCTGTCACAAAAGTTAAAATATGTTAAATATTCTGAACTAGGAAAGAAACCAAAACATCCCAATTGGGAACATAGCAGAAGAAAAATACACATAATTTTGTGATAGCAATTCACTGGGAATGGGACGCTTCCAGTTTGGCCCCCAGCTGTACACAAGTATAAAGGGTGAAGAGGGAGTCCCAAACTGGGATGGAGCTATTCCAGTGCTTGTAGGTGGCTTTGCTGCCACAAAATGGGTGTTTATATCAAATAGTGCCGCAGGTGAGGACCCCAACCTGCCTCTTTTCCAGAGGCAAAGACAGGGCATCTCCATATCCCTCCATCCTAAACTGCAGGATCATGCTCCAGACCTGTTCTTTTGATGACAAGACCATTGAGATTTCTTACTGTATGGGCATAAAGGAATCTTTTTTCCTCCCATCCCAGAGGGATTTTCCACTCGACTTCGACAGCATAAACACTTACCTGCATGCTTGTACACTTGCAGATGGGGGTAAGAATTTTTCTCACAATAAAGACTTAAAATCCTTCATTTTTCTACTGTTTTGGACTCCTGTTACCTGACATGAGGCCCTTTGAGTGCAAGCTGAAAGCATCCAGGGATTTATCTACAAATTATGGCACAGCCACCCGCAGCTAAAGTGATGCCTAACGTTGGGCTATTCCTTCAGCCAAAAACTCCCCTCTAGGTCATCAACAACCAGATTTCAGAGTAAGCTGATGCCATATGAATCCACAAGAATCTGCTCCAGTGCACATCTGAATCACGTGATCTCACAAAATGACAGAATTGAAGCAGCCAAACACCTCTCAGCTCCTAAACAAACCCTCTGACATTGCTGTTTTAAAGGGACAAGTTCTGTATCTGTGGAGAGAATTGGGGTTGTTCAGCCTGGAGAAGAGAAGGCTCTGGGGAGGCCTTATTGACCCTTCCAGTACCTGAAAAAGCTGGAGAGGGATTTTGGACAAGGGCATGGAGTGACAGGGCAAGAGGAAGTGGTTTAAGCCAAACCCATTACTAAGCCACCACTGGGGAAGATGTGTGTTGCCACATGAGTTCAGAAGGAGGTAAAAAGAACATGGTAAGAAAGTGGGAGCTCTACTGTAACTGGGGAGGCAGAGAGAAGTGCCTTGCAATGCTGTTTGCAAGGAGAAATGCCTTTGGCTCTTGCTGAACTCCCACCATGGAAGATTCCAGGGACTGAAATGATAGTCTGAGAGTGTGAAGTCCCTCCCAAGTTACACAGCAGGAGATGTCTCTGGTTGTGGTGGCTGGTTTGGGGGTTCTGCTCACTACTATTTCATGAAAATGTCTGTGCCTGTGAAAGGGAGGCAGGAAGGCTCCAGAGCAGCAAGAGGAGGCACCAGGGACCACCTTTGGGATGGACCAGACAGAATTTCCAACAAAAAAGGCATTTTGGTACTGAGTGACAGGGAGGAAATAAAAATAGAGAGAGCGATGGCAACCTCCCATTTTTGTCTCACCTTGCCATGGAAGATAGGAGTTTAACTCCACAAATACACTGGATCGTGCCAGTTTTACCTGGCTCCATCATCAGTTTCTTTTCCTGAGCTTCAATAACCATGTGGTTTGTATGAGCTGAGCATTAGCTCACTTCAGTCTCCCCACGGTGTTGTGGTTTACGTGGTTCACTGATTTCCCAGAATCTGGCTGAGGTGCAGATATGCTGATGTTCCTGACCAGGAATAAACCAGGCCAACGTGCTGCAAAGCAGTTAATGTATTCATCCACTCAGTATCCAGTGAGGTAGACAAATGGGTTTTCCATGTTAAAGAGGGGCTGTGGAGTCCAAAGGGGAAAAAAAAAAAGTGTTATTGAGTGGTACAGAACTGCACACAGAATATATATTTGTGCATTTCTGTATGTGTGAGTTTTCCTAAATTGATGGATTTGGCTCAGAAAATGTTGTTTAAAAAATCCCCACTCAGTCAGGAAGTCTAAAATTGTGGCTTAAAAATTACTTTTAAGCAGAGGAGTCAGATTAGAGCAGTGGAGGGAGTCCCTCAGCCCAGGGCTGGCACGGGCCTTGGTGGAGGCGGCCTCTCTGCAGCACGAGGGGCTGAATCCCAGTGGTCTGAGAGCACTGTGAACCCCATCCTGCAGGAGATCCTATAATTCCTTCCCCCCTGGGCTTGGTGAATCAGTTCCCACAGGCTGTGCAGAGTCTCACCCAGGAAAACAGGACCAGCACAACCCATGACACTGACCTCACCGGGGGTTAAGGAAGGAGCCCTGACCTCAAGCGTCCTTTCCCCAGCTGTGAGACCTGCCTTTGTTTGAGACCTTTATTGTTCAAGTCCTGCAGAAGAATAGGCTGTCGCCAGGAGCAAGAAGAAGAAAATTGCCACACAGGCAAAAACCATCCTCGTGTCCTTTTTCCAATAGAACTGGAATTTTTTTGACTGCCTGGTTTCAATAAAAAGCCCAGAAAGGAAGAATTGAAGGGGGCATTGCTTTTCATGGAATGCCAGCAAATAATTGCAAAAAGTTGCTTGTTTTCAAAGAATTGCATGACTGGGGACAATGCAGGGTGCCCAGGGCTGCGCAGACACGCCACATTTGCACCAATCCTGGGTTGAATTCTGCTGCTTAACTCTTCTCCTTGAAAACTCCTGATCTGGGAATTTATTTTCATCTCTTAAAGCTTCTCCTGCTGCTGGCTCTAGCAAGGACATGGAGAGTGGAAGCATTAGATACTGCTCGGCTGCTCAAGGGAGTGTTGAGCCACAGTGGTATTTCTGTATGAAGACTGATCCTGGTGCTTGACACATCACAGAGGCATTGGGGCCAGTGCTGATTCCCTTTGGCCACTGGAAGGTGATGCTGTGTTTGGGGTGGAATTGCACCAGCAAATCTCCACTTCCACTTCAAATGTCACCCAAGTTGGGCACTTTCTGTCTCTAACAGCCCCAAAATAACCCCAAGACAAAACATTGCCAAAACATTACAGAAAGTCTTGAATTTATGACTGTAAAAGTACCAGGCATACAGATCAATGTTATACATAAATCATATTGAGGTTTTTTCTCATGATTTACCCTTTTTTTCCAGGGAGCACTGTTTGTTTTGTATTTATCTGCTGTATTTGTAAAAGGTTAAAGCATTCTGGGTTTTGTAGTCACTGTCACTCAACTAGCAAGCCCCTCAAACTTTTCTGCCTTGCACCCCATGGTAGCTCTTACCAAATTCCATTTCCATGTCTATTCATGCCACAGAAAGTATCACACCTGCTGGCCTCTGGAAGGTGTTGGTCATGGTGTTAAGGAGCTTAGATTCCTCAATGTAGGATTTTTTGGTTTGGTTTTTTTTTTTTTTCATTTCAAATGCCACTCTTTTGGACCTCTTAGTCCAGACTTTACAAGCTATAGACAATGTGCTGACACCAGAAGCATTGGTGTGGATTTTTGCCACTGAAATTATTCTGGTAGCAGGTCCCATGACACTGGCAGTGCCAGGACAAGGCAGGATGTTGGACCCCACATCCCACAGTGTGTCCTGCAGGATGCCCTTGCATAAACGTATGATATGGTTTGAAGCTGGCTCCCTGCCAAGTCTCCAAACCTTACCACAAGAAGTACCCCCCCCGCCCCAAACCTCAGGGAGAAGAGGGAAAAAACAACCAAGAAAACCGAAAAGAGAGAGAGACAGCTAAAGCAATATATATACAAATATATTTACACTTATGTTACAGTTACATACAATTAAAATATATATACAATTTTCACAAGGGAAAAGGAAGGGGGAAGGGAAAAGGAACAAAACCAAAATAAAATATATATATATCCTGATTAGTAGCCCAATATCTAGCAACTAAAAGAATTAGCAAAGAAATATCTCACTACTCTCCTTGGGACAACCGAGAGTCGCTCTGGAACGATCGCCGGCAACCTCCGTCTCCCAAGGTCGACAAGGCCTAACCAGGCCTCACTCCCCAACACGGCAGACCCGACACCAGGGAACCTGCACCTCCAAGCTGCCGGAAGGAAAGAGAGCGAAGGCCTTTCCTCCTTTCTTCTTATAGCCTGGCTTACGTAAAAATCGTAGGGAATACTGGATAAATCTGGGCCCTTCCTTGGTTACAAACTGGTCACCAAGGAAGGCCCAGACCAAACTACCACAACATATGAAAAAATTCTGGAGGAATTTTTCATCAAATCTCTCTGTTTCATCCAACAGCAGCTCTGTTTTTGTGTTGTTCTTCTAGTTTGCTACAGAGGCGTCGATGTGGAGTGACCGTCTGAGAATCGTCTGCATTATAATCCCAGGAGAACACAGTTTCTTCTCAGCAGGATCAGATGGGAGGGTCCTGAGGGCAGTGACAGGAGAGCCTACAAATACCACAGGCATTTTCCCCAGTTTGGGGCCAGATGGGGTAATGCAACACCCTCAGTGCCAGTGCAGCTCTTCTTCCTCTGAGTTCAAAAAGCTTTGTCAAAAACCCCGGAAAAACTTTGCAGAGGTAGAGGAACAGAGAGCAGAGGGATTGCTGCTGGGGGCCTGCAAAACTGCTGTTCCCACTTGGTGAGGAATTGCAACAAAACATACCAAAGTCAGTTGTTTTGAGGAATCTGTAGCCACAGGTGCCATTCCAGCTTTCCCACCCACGGCTTGTGGTTTCCCACCCATGATTCCATCATGAACCACCCTACAAAGCACACCCTCTCTTTAGAACAGCACAGGGGGAGTGGGAGGAAGACTCCTGCTGTGTACCCTGGACCACAGATAAATAGAGATTATAATAATAGTGATAAATTGTGATAATAACAGTGATAAATGGCAAAGAAACTGGGCCAGGGGTAGGTGGTAAAAGGCAGCAGAAGATAACTCTGTGCTTGGCCTTTCCCACCCTGGACACAGAGGAATGTGGAAAGCCTTGAAGGCAGCACTGCTTCATCCACCACTCACAATGTGCAGCCTCTGGGTGTTTTTAACCTCCCTCCTCAGGAAGGGGAGGGCAGATTGTAGGAGCTGGGGTGGAATATTCAGGATAACAAATTGCTGAGCTTCTCAGAGGCAATCGTGGGCTCATAGAGAAAAAGAAGACGACACATGAGGGAGGTTTGTGACTGGCTGGACCTCGTCCTGCTGCGCTCCCAAAAACTCTGACTCCAGGGAATGGCGTGGGAAGGTGTCCTGCCGTAACGGGAGAAATAAGACAGCTCTGCCTTGAAATGTCTGGGCAGAGATTAAATGCGACTTGCTGGAAGAAGAAATCGCTGTGATATTGTGCCAACGGGCCGCAGAGCTGTTCGTGTTCGGATGGATTCTCCCTGGGAGCGGCAGGGGCCCCGCGCCTGCCAATTAGTGAGTTTGGGGAATGCATCCCGCGCTCCTCCCCGCTCCTGCAGCAACGCAGCTCCCTGTGCCGCTGCCCCTCCTGGGGCTGGAGCGTGTTCTGTTCTTCCAGGGGCCGGGAACTCATCGCTCCATTTTTTTTGTAACATGATTTTCTTAGTTCAAAGCAACCAGTGCTTGTTTTAATTAACGAATATGTTTCTCTTTTCTTGCTTCCTGGCTCCCTGCCTGCTCCTGCGTTTTCGTGCCTCGAGAATAAAATGTTTCATTCAAAACAGAATCCTCTTTGTCCCTGTATGGCCGCTGCTCGGAGAGGTGAGGGAGCTGGGGAGGCGGCAGCAGTTTCGATTTTGGGGGGTGGAGGAGCAGGGAGGGAGAAATGGGCCGGATTACAGAAAAACTGCCAAGAAAAGACAAGTTTTGTAGCACTCATCTCACTTAACTCTTCCCATTTTTCCAAGAGCCATGGCAAATCCCATTTATGCAAATCCTCACCTTAGCAGCTTTCAAATATTCTTAGAGCCACTGGTGTGAACGAAAGTGGAAATTGGAAGTACATAATCCCAGCCAAACCCTACGTACCTGTGGAGCTCACTGCAAAATGTGTGAGTAATGATGTGGCACATTTCACTGGTGTTTGCTGACCACTGCCCCCGGCACCAGCTGTTTTTTCACCGCTCTGCTTTAGCTTATCAGCCCTCCCTGATATTGGGCTAAATTCCAAATATAGCAGGGGAATCAGCTGGCAATTCATTTCATGTGTAGCATTTTTTTCCTCCGCACTTAATTGAGCATTCCACTTCGAGTAATCCTCGGCATTAGATTAAATCTCTATTGATCTCGCTTTAATGAGCTCACCACTGTGACCAACAGCCCCTTCTCCCGCAGCAGATGGAGACGTGGCCATCCAAACGTGTGGCAGAAACACCTTGTTTAAGAGGACTGACACCTTCTCCTCTGTACAGCTATCCTCGGCACCCCTTTGCCCTGGAGTCTGCGGACCCAAAGCCAGCAGATATGCCCTGTTCTTTGCACCGTGCCTTTGTGAGACTCCTATTGCAGGGAATTTCTGTATAAACACTGCCAAGAGCTTCCTGCCTAGAGATTTCACCCCTGAGCAGGCAATGTCCATGTCCATCAGTGTGAGGGTAGGTAGCTGGAGGCTCTGTGTGAGCTCTCTCCTTTGCCACAGGGAAACCAGGAATACTGGAGTGCTTGCAGCTCTCAGTGCCTGCTTAAGGGGAAATATTGCAAATTCAGGTCTGGGCAAATCAATCTTGTGAGCTGCAGAATTGATTCCAGTCTTGCATTTAAATTTCTACTTGAGGTTAAAATATAAAAAGAAGGAAATCTCCCTTCCCTCCCCTGTGATGAAAAAAAAAGTGATTAATGAGTAAATCCCAATGACAAACACATCCTAATGACCCAGCACTTTATGATTTGCTGCACTGTAGCATTTTGTAGACTTCATGGCCCAGCTGATCTTTAGGGTCAGCTAATTGCACCTTCTACCTGGCAAAGGTCATGGGCATTTCCTGGGTGATTTTTGCATACAGCCCAACAGCCTGTGTTGGAACTGAACAGTTTAACCCTGTTTGAAAAACCCTGATGTACAGATGGCAACATGGGGGTGTTCTTGGGGAGGGGGTGGGGACCAGTATAGTGCTATGGAAAAGACAGTTTAATTGAAATCTCATTCCCACATGGTTTAAGAGCTTGTATCATCAAAAGATGTCATATACTAAATAATGCATTAAGGCTCTACGCCCAGTTTTGGTGGTTTTGTGACAAGTGGTGTTGCTCAAGCACAGCTGAGATGCAGCCACCAAGGCAGGGATGTTGTCTCATGTATTTTAACATGGAGTTTGCAACGTGAATTTGCCAGCACTGCCCATCATAATTTTCAAGTTTGGTTATTGCTCACTTGCTTTTTTCCTCTTTCTTATCTACGAGACACAATATGTCTTGCATCAGCAGATTGTGATTAATAGTCATGATGTGTAATGACATTAATTAGCAATAGCTATTGCTAATGATTAATAACAGCAGCTAAGTGAAACCTTGGCTGCAATGATTTAT